GTTTCCCCCTACTGCTTCGTGAACCTAACCCCCTACTTGTGTCCTTGACCCCGGGGTCATGCTTTGGCACTAGCACGCAAACAACCACAAACCAGGGATCCTCGTGGGCCTCGCTGAACACCCCGCAATGACGGGGGCAGCAACCGGACAGCAACCACCAACACTCGCACCGAGCCCTTCGAAGTGAATGAGGCGGGGCTACCTGGGCTGTAGATGCGAGTGTTGGGGGTTGCAGTCATGTCTCACTCCACAGACATAGCGCATGCAAGCAAGAGTCGCTTTAGGCCCAAGCAAGCCAACCAAGCTTGCAGACTGCGTGGTCCAGGCAGGGGCGCTATGCACAATGTCGGGCTGCCCTAAGGCTACATTCCTCGCAGCGTACGCGAAGGTGCAGGCACAGGTCGCAGAGTTCGTGTGCAAGGCCATGGCCAAAGCCGCGGCCACTAAGGTGGCCGGTGTGGCCGCCGGCGTTCACCGGCTTGGACGCGCGGGCTCATCAACCCCCTACGAGGGCTATCCCCGGCCATGTACCCCGAGCCCGTTATGTAGGCAATGCGGCTGACGATTGGGCCTGGGCGTGTGTATGCCTTACCGGGCCCATGAAAAGCCTGTCTTCAGGCACGGAGCCAGCGGTGCTTCCTGATGGAGTTCGGCTCTGCGCAGTCCATGAGACTCGAGAATCGGTTCTACAACTTCCGCCACGGGCCGGTCAACGGCCACTTCGTGGAGATGGTGGTCGACGAGGACGGGCCTCCTACTGCGACGCCGGCTTACGTGGTCTACGTGATAGCCCTGCCACTGCGACCCTCGCTGGGTTCTTGACCACGACGGCCGCCCGCCGCAGTCGGAGACGACGACGACGCGGCCTTCAGCGCGTCCATCGCGCGGATCGCAGCTGGCTTGATTTTGGGAAACAGGCAAGGGTGCCGTCGCCGTGCTTGACTTCGCCGCCACACTGGCCGCAATGCAGGCGTTGCCGCTACCTGCGAAGCCTATACGGAGCTGTGGTCAGCCGCAGCGCAGAAGACACAGAGGACGCGATCCGTATCGACACTCTCGTCAAGCCAAAGGCAACGGCCTCGTACGCGCTGGATGCCGACGGGGTCACGGTCAACCTGAGAGCAGAAGACTTCGGCCAGGTCGACTTCCTCATCTCGTGCCGCTGGCATGCTGTTGGCTGCCTTCCAGGGCCGGTTGCATACGGCGAGTGCGAGACCAGGCTGGTCTGCGTTTTTGCGCGCGCGGAAATCGAGACCGCTTTGCAGAGCACGGCCGCAGCCGTCAAGTCACAGGCCGCTGGGCACCGGGCCGCCGAGGTCGTGTTCATCCCGCAGGCCTTCACGGAGATTGTCCAGCACAAGGAAGCTTACGAGTGAGTGGTCCAATTCTGTGACATCTAGCAGCAAAATTTGCAGCGAGCCCAAAAGCTGCAGATGGCTTGGCGCAACGGGTGATCAAGACGGCCAGCAAGATGGACAAGTCCATGGCAAGGACCCAAGCTCTCATATTCCATTCCTTGAACCTAGAACTAGCATGCCCGCAGCAAGCACACTGTTTGCGGGAGCCAATAATTAAGGCATGTTTTTGCAGCCTTCCTACACATAAGCATGCTTCCCCACCTGCACACCCTTCCTAGCCGAATACCAGGCATATACAGCCGAGCCCGTCCAGGCAAAATGTTGGATGGGGTTGCTCCCTGGAGCGGGGGGTGGGGACTGCCCACTCCTCTGCCACATAGAGAATGGCTCCCGGATGCGCTTCACAGGATAAAGCGTTGCGTGCTGCGAGTCGATGCAAGTCAGAAAAGAATGTCGACACGTCGCGATCACACTCCTACGGTTCAGTAGGATCAATAATTGCGCAGGTCGAAAGTGTCTTAAGCCTCCGCTCAGTCATGCTGCAGCTAGATGATAAACCCATGTTATGATGACTTTTTGCTGACGCAGGGGGGTTGATGCAAAGTTGTTCAAAAGCTACAATCCCCTCCTGCGCCACTCTACATCTGCTCCACCTCACAGCACTTGAGCTCGGGACTCGTCTGTGCTGAGGTTTCTTTTGTGCCTGGAATTGCTGATCTGGAGGGTCCAAGAGGACAGTCCGTGACGTGGCCGCGCTTTTGTCTGTTTGTTAGTTAGTCAGTGGCAGTGGTCTAAGTGAAGGCCATGAATCTGCTTCTTTTGCAGAGCTGTGGGACGAGGCGGAACCCATCGGGAACGCAGGACACTAGCTCACACTCCGCACATGCGATGACCCAAGCCCTAAACCATGTTCTATCACAGGTTTGTTTCAAAACATTTGCTTTCGCGATTGCGACGACTTTTTTTATTTAACAGCCTCCTGACAACTAGGAAAGTTGGCCACGAGGATTGCGAAGGTCGGTCTGGGGCTTCGGTTTCCACTCTTCGGAGCCAGGCTGGACAACTCCATGCAGCACCGCATTGTTCCCCTCTTCCGCAAAGATCAGAGCGAGCAGCTTGGCAGAGGCGCCACGAACAGTGTAGGGCAATGTCGGGAACAGGGGCCAGCAAGCAGGGTTTCGGGATGTTTAGGGTTTGGGATGTAAGTATAAGGTATGGGACGTAGCATGGAGTTGAGAATTTACGGCCTTGACAGGCAGTGCAGCCTGGGCTATCATTATCCGACAACATGGTCGGGATGTAAATTTGCGAACATGTGCAAAGAGTAAAGAAGCGAAAACCGCCTACTAGATGCCTTTCCTTCATCCTTGCTGGATCGTGAGTTGTCCAAGTGCGAAGGACACACTATATCTTATATCCTGGCACCACACAGATGCCAAAAATTTCTGCCGAAACTCAACATGAAGTCAGAATGCCCGAGCAATCCGCTTGCCTCAGGCGGAGCCATGGGTTTTTTTGATCGAAGAGCGTGACGCGAGGCGGGATTTCCTGAACCTGTCGCGAGCCTCTCAGTACGAGTCTGGTTGGGCATGTGTACCAGGGTGAAGCATAGTCTAGCATTGTGTGTTGATTCGTTGCCTCGGCGCGGGCTTGTGAACTGCCGTCGCGGTGTTAGGAATGCTTGGTGAGAACGCATCCAGTTGGGTTTAGTTTAGCAAGAGCCTTCAGCATGCCTGCAGCAGTGGAGCCAGCCAATGTGACGGAATCGTCACATGCTCAGTCAAGTCGATGCACTTTCGGCTGACAGCTCGACTGCTCTCAGTTCCTCTGGTCGCCAAAGTTGTTGACCAGCCCGCTTGTCGACCTTTGAGACAACCTTGCCTGATGTGACGTCGAAGCGGTGAAGTGTGACATAAAGCCGCGCAGAACATTTGAGATCATTCGTGCAGTCCCTGCACACAGGCACGTCTTTGTCGCCACCAGGCGTTCCCTGTAGCCGATGGGCCTGATCAGGCCTGAGCTTTGCTAAAGGAGTCCTGACCTGGGTCTCATTGCAACGCGCCGAGAGAGAGCAAGAAAATGCTTGCTGTCCACCCTTCGGGGCTGGGCCGGGGGTTGCCAGTCCACCAGTCGCAAACTCGTAAACCCAGACGGTAACCCAGAGATGCTTCGTGCCTTTGCAAGCAGATGCGGCTGTTGAGCCAAGGCCAGAAGAGCTCCTGCGACGGGCGAGCAGCCATCACGCGTACGGGAAGGCAGCAGCAACCAGACGAGCCATCAGATACTGTAGCAGGTCGTATGCACGAGAGCCTCAAAGGCCTGCCAACATTGCATGCTTTTCTCACTCGTGAGCCACTCCGTCAGCTGGACCGGGCAGCGGGCAAACATAGTCTTGCATACCTTGCACCAGCCTGCGCCGTGAATGCAACCCTGAAGCCCTCTTCTAAAGGTCGTGAGAGCCCGGTTGCAGTGGACAGGTTGGGAGGCTAGTGAGAAGCTGTTGCTCCAGGGCTTCTCCCAGAAGATGGCAGCCGTTTCTGTAGTTTAGGCCATTGTAGGCGCTTGAGCGTCTGTGCGTTTGTGGAGAGCCGCTTTGCCAGTGGCCGGTTCACTTCAAATATCCGCCTTAATAAGGCGGCGACACAGACATTCTTATCCTGAGTCAACTCGGGTTGTGAGGATTTCTGTTTGGGAAGGCCCCTGTGATCCCCGGTGCATCCACAGAAGTTGTTCGCTCTTCAGGTCCTTTACAGGTTTTGCGGACGTCCGATTAGGTCACTGCATCCCGGCAAGCGGTTTTGGTCGACTCCAAGGTTCTGTGTTTCTGTACAGGCCCCAGGTTTTGCACAGACGCACCTGCAATGGCCCGGACGACGGCTACGTGGTCTTCTTGGTGTCTTGGTCTGTGCAGTTTTGCACCTGAACACATTGTAGTGCCTTCAGGCCTTCAGAACTTCAGGAATGGTAGTGCATGATGTGTGACCTCTTCATCACAGCAGTTTTGCGGCTCAGAGAAGAAGACGTTCGCACCTCCACCACCAGGCAGGGCGAGTAACGGACCAGGTATTCTGGAGCGATCGGCTTGAAATCCTGCAAACCTACAACTCAACGGGTCACTGCAACCCTGCATTCACCAAGCAGGCACTCGTGCGTACGCCTGCATGTTTCTGCTATTTCCACAAGCGTTGCAGTGCCATGTGAGTCAACTAGTTGTGCGCGGAGGTGTCTTTGCACATCTATCCCTGTTGTGCTCGGTGGCCTGCGAAACAGGGACATTACTCTAATGCTCAAGTGGCTATTTGCTTTGATCCGTTTCTGCAACCAGAGCATTGCAAGTGGCTGTCCAGGGTTTTTGTTTTTCAACCTGGTCCCTGCAAAGCGACAGCTCCGCTATGCTTTCAAGCTGTTGATCGAAGCTGTGTCATTGCAGCGACGACAGGTCAGGTGCCGCCTGAACCGCCAGTCAGCAGTTACTATGCTAGCAGCGCTCAAGCCCACCCACATGCAAAACCATGCGTGGCTTCAGGATACTGTGTCAACCTGCACTTCCAAAAACTGTCGGAAACAAAGCTTGCACTACGGAATCAAGAATTCTGAGGATTTCATGCCTCTTCAGGTATACAGCTTCATTGAAGTTATGCAGAGCTGGCCAGTGAATAGAGCCCGGTAGGTCAGAACGGTTGATCAAAAGCAGCTGCCAGGGCAGACGTCATGGAGCAATCCGAGGCCGCGGCCACTGATTGGATTTAGGATCGTAGCCCTTGTAGCCATTTCGGCAATGCTCAGCCTTCGAGGTTAATAGAGATTAAGGGTTCAGGGAAATAGGTTCCGGATTTATCGATGTAGGAATCTGGCGCAATTCTTTTAGTCAGTTTGCGATCTTCGCAGCGGGGTCTAAGCCTCAGGTGAGGGAACGCAGCTGAATCTCAGATGAAACGTGCGTTCAGTCACATGGGAAGAAATCCTTCATGGCGAAATTGACCGCAACAACAAAACCAGAATATGTACCTAGGATGGATTGAAAACCCGAATCGTTGCACCTCTGGGATAAAAGTCCGCGAGTCTAAAGCCCTTTTAAAGCCCTTTAAAGCCCTTGCACGCAGGCAGACACTTTTCAACTTGTTCTCTGCGTGTGCTATCCTGACATAAGGGCAGGCTAACCTTGTCTCTATCGATTCTATCGTTCCACTTGAATCGATTGATCCCGAAAGCGCTCCTAGATGCTGCTGCCTGTAAGCCAGAAAAATATCAACGGGGAACGGGCATTGAGGCCGTCATGGCGGCCCGCGCCAAACTTGCCCAGCGCTTCTTGTCTTCTATAGGGCTGGAACGGGTGTCGGGTTTCGTTCACCAAGGGTTTAGGACTAAGGTCACGAGACAAGTGCCTCATGCTGGAACAAAGCCTAAACAAATCTCCCGAGTGAACGGGAGTCACTTGCACAAATTATGTTTTAGGTAGCCCCATACTTCAAGCCCGTGGCTTCACTTCCTTCGGTGTGAGGGCTGTAAAACTTTCTGAAATTTGGCACCCTTTCATCCTTTCTGTCCAACCTAAAGTGAGGCTTCGACGCCGTGCGCACCGGCGGCAAGGGCACTGCGCGGCGTAGCCCGACAGCAAGCGATAATCAAGGAAGCAGAGTCGAAACTTCCGAGCCCGGATGTGTATGCTTTGGGATTGAAACCCTGACACAAAAAGTGTTGCCATCTTGGAGAAGCTACATCCTGACCACTGTGCCGAGAAATGGTTCTTGAGACAGACCCGCCTTTTTGCATCCCAGGCCGAAAGTTGGCAAAACATCAGACGAACACGGCGGATGAGAAGCAGCTGCAGGCCCGTAATTGCAGGATATGCGTTGTGGCTCAAAGCTAAGAAGCTGAGGGCTTGGCTGCTAGCGAAGATGCTTGATGAGTAAGAGACAAGGAAGTATCCACTTCATTGCATTTAGCAGTATGTCTTGGTTTGGTGCAGGTCCACAATGTGTTTCCTGCACTTTCTGAATCCTGTGCAAAACTTCCAAGAACCTTTTCAGGAGCTTGTAACCACATTAACGCATGGGTTCTGGACCCCCTCAAGCAATGTCGGTGCCCAAGTTCCGAACCCGGAATTTGTCCTTAGATTATGTTTCTAGCTCCTCAGTCTGTTTTAACCATCGGGTTTGACCATGTGGCAGCAATGACAACCAAGTTAGTTAAGATTCCCTGTTCGTAACAGTGGTTCGACACTCCACCAGGGTCCGAATGGGTCCTTCCAAGCGTAGTTCAGACACTTCGAAGACGAGATGTTCCCGAGGCGCACCTCAAGCGACTGGGGCTCAACAGCATCCCAGGCCCAGATGAACTCATCAGCATTCAGGCTTTCGGGTTACGGAGTCGCTGTCGGTACGGTTGGCGTTCACCCAATCTTTGTAGGACCCGATCCTGGGTCCATCTCCTATCATCAAACGGTGCTGAAGGTTGTGGGCCTATGGGATTTTTGGGTTTGGGGTTTCTGGCCCTAGGCGTAGACCAACCTTAAGCCTTGAAGCCGCGACCTCAAAGCAGGCGTTCCTGCTTCAGATGATTGTTTACTGCATTATCCGGAAACTGATACGACTTCTGCTCGCTGCTGTCAAGAGCGCGATCCTTGATGGAGATATCGTGAGCGATATCTTTACACTTCCTGATTCGTCTGTGAAACAGCGGTTCAAGCACGTTGTTGTCAGCAGGCGTCGGAATCCCTGTCCCAGTTCCTGATGAAGGTCTTGAGGTTCTCGTTTGTCATCCGACAATTCATGAGATCCTCCAGGTCGTACGCCGAACCGTGAAGCGCGTTTGCGGCAAAGTACTTGTGAAGACGGTGCAACAACTGTCGTGAACGTGTCGGTCTGACGTGCGAAATCCTCTTATTCGTTACTGCCGACAAGATTTTGGCGTCCAAAGTGCTGAACCCTTCCGAGTCGCGAAGTTCGGTTTCATCAACATCCACGCCTTGCCCAGCCAAGCATGCGCCTTGTCCGGGCGGCAATTGCCTCACGCACACGAATCCCCCAGTTGCGATACTGCTCAGGTTGAGGGAACTTAGGGAACACGATCTTTTCTGCTTCCTTAACCTTGGGCTTTCTCGGGGTTTCTTTTCCCTCATCATCATCATCATCATCATCATCCTCTTTCTTGTCTTTCTTGCCCTTGAGTACTTACTTGAGCAGCTTTCTGAGGGTCCTGTTATCGATCGACCATGAGGAATCACACGAGTCGTCGCGTTTGGACTTCTTCTTTTTGCGCTTCTTTTCTTTCTTCTCCTTGTTGTCATGGGCTTGAGCCTCCTCGTCACGGACACCTTCCGGTTCCGGACAGCGTTCTTCTCCGGGGGGTGTCGCGATTGACTGCCTGAAGAGTCCAGGGGGAACTTCAGGACCTTGAGGGACGCCTGATGGAGAGACGGGGGATCGAGCTTCGGCTTCCGCCAAGCGACGCCTAAGGGTTTCCTTGTCGCTTCTAAGCTGTTCCATTCCCTGGTGCCGGAGACGCATCATTTCTTGCATCTCATTCCTCATCTTGGCTATCTCCTCATCTCGGGCATAAGTTTCGGTTCGGCTCTGGTTTTGCTTACGCTCAGCTTCGGCCTCAACCTGGCCAAAAACGGTGTTGGCTGACATTTCAGCGGATATCAGGCGTGAGTGGATTTGCTGTGCTTGCTCAGCAGCCAGGTTGGCCTCCAATTGGTGGTGAAAAACTGAAGAATCCTATAGGTGCTTTTGGCTGTATCAACCGTCTTTCACAGTGTCTTCCTGTCTTGTCCTTGCCTGGCTTTGTCCGAGTGCGAGAGTCAAAAAATCGCCAAGCTTCAGAAGCTTCCCCAAACCTGACAACGCCAGGCATCGAGGAGGTGAACATGTTCACAGAAGACGGCGGGGTCCTCCATTTCAACACCCCGAAGGTCCAGGCCGCCGTGGGCGCCAACACGTATGCTTCTTGGACGGATAAAATGGTTTAGTAGGGCGTGTGTGAAAGGATTTCAGGGCTGAGTTTAAGTACGCCTTCTTCCATGTTGGGATGAGGCTTATCCGGGTTAGGGCTTAATGACTTAATGCCGAGAAGACCTTAAGTTTAGGGCCCACTTCTGGCGTGAGATCCTTGAAACCTGCGGAGCGAGCCCCGAAGTCGAAACGGGGTGCTGACCCTACACCCCAGCCCTTGAGTAAAGGCAAAGCCCAAGCGAGTTTCAAGCAGCCTGCCGGGCCTGCCCCCTACTAACTCCAACCTAAGCCCAGGATCTAGAGCCTCCTGGGTCCAGCAATTTGAGGTCATCACTGGCCAGCCTGAAAACAAGCGACTGGAGGAGCTCCTTCCGGGGATTATCCACCAGCTCCCCGGGGCGAATTTTGAGTTCTGGGATGGGTTCAGTTGATGCAGTTGATGTGTGTTCACTACCTTCTAGACTACCTGTTGTTTGCACGGCAGCTTAGCACGTTGTGACCTCTCTTCACCTTGTCAGACTGTCGCAATCCTTGCCTGGACGTGTCCAAGGTTGAAGGTCGAAACTCAACAATGTGGGATGTTCAGCTTGGTTTGGAAAGCTAGTTCAACTAGGACGTCTTGCATGATGAACAGAGATCCGGAGACAAGCAACCAAGGCTGGGTGCGGACAACTTGACAAACCTCCGACGAATTGCGGAAGGCTCCTTTAGAGGATTTGGGTGACAGGGTTGTCGTTCTTCACGAGGTTGAGTTTGAGGTTGGGCAGTGGGGGTTTGGGGCTGCTGAACATGCGGGGTTGTGTTGCTGGCCCAGGGCTGAAGCAACCTAAAGTGCATGGTGCAGATGCTGCTGCTCGTACCAGTTAGCCTTGCAATTCTCTGCGGTGCGCCGAGCCGAATTCCACATTCATTCATCTTCTGGAGCTCGTGACTTCAACCTATGTGTCTGTTGAATCTACCGGGCACTACACTCGATCAACTTCTCAGTTGTATCCCCGAAAAGGATTTTTGGGGTCTGGGCTCCGGACAACGTTGCTGCTCGGGTTTGGGTTCCCCACGAGTTGCAGCGGGCTTTCCCCCCGCATCTTGGGCCGGGCATTCAAGCGTGCCGATTTCATGCCTCAGCACAACTTCCGAGGCTCTTCAACCCGAGTGAGCTCTCATTTCCACAAAACTCAGGACGATCCAAGCCAGAGATGCCCCGAATCTCCGCCTGACAGAGGCTTCCGAGCCGCGCCGGCTGCGGAGACGGGAGGCGGAAGCAGGGTTAGCAAAAGGAAGTAGAGAGTGTGTGCGGTGTGTGTGTGTGTGTAATCCTTTTCGTACTTACTACATGGTGTTCTCTCCCCTCCCCTTTTCCTTTGTGATACCAAATGTTGGGTCCTGTGAACATCACCGCGGAGACTAGGCGCCCCCACTCATTCAGAAATGCACCGGTCCCAGATGGTTTATGGGTACCCCTCTCTCGGCAGGGCAAAAAGGATTTCTTTACGCTATTGCAATCTCCCCTTTCCCCCCGTCGATGGTTACATGCAAGACCTGTACAGGCGATGACATCCCAGACATCGGTGGCCTGCTCAGACGTCGTAACAAAGGAGTGTGGGGTGTACAGGGTCTCGGGGTTTCAGACCCAGGGCGCCAAGCAAGCAGCTTTTGCCCTGCAGTTTATGCAGAGAGTCGCAGATGGGAGCAGGGACTGAGCTCGAGCTCACCTGGATTCGTTTCAGCCGTGAGTGCCGAAACCCATCCAAAACTCCCCGTTGCTACTCCAACCCCGAGTCACGAGTTTTCAGCCCCATAGCCATAGTCGCAGACCTGTTTGGTTGCCAGGTGAAAATTTTGAGGAGGTCAGCAAGCAGTGAGTGCCAGAGATTGCGTATATTCGCACGTTGTAGAGCTGCGCTGATAAAGACGAGGTCGGCTGCAGCAAAGATCGGCGGTGATGGGTGGTGGGTTTCCTGGGGCTGTTAGAGGGTTCGCAGCCTTTGGGTACCCAATTTGGCTGGTAGTCGATGCCGCTTGTAGGCTCACAGACGATGCGCAAGCACGGCATGCAGACACGAGGGCAAGTGCAGATGTTTTCGACTGCGCAGAAGCTTGTTTTCTGTTTGCCCTTGCAGTTCACAACGGTGACAAGATTTAGCAGGTCACGTTTCGGGAAGATCCGCTGGATAGTAGCAGAATGAACGACAGCTCATTGCCACTACCCCTATCTGCAGCATGTTCGCTTCGGGGTTTTTTCCAGGTATTTGGCACGTGCGATAAGGATTTGCAGACACCAGCTTATGGCGCTCTAGGCTTTCGGTTCGGTTTTAGATCTTGGACCATGGGCATTGTGTTTCGAGCTCAGCTTCTGAATTGACGGGAACCAGCAGGACATTTTGTGTGGTGGCAGTGTACGCAAGGGAGACTTCACACATGAGCTCGCTTCAAATTCGCCCAGGCTGTCCTTGGTGCAAGGCGCGACAAGCTTGGCAGGCCTGATCGGGGCGTGGGATCAGCGGTGGGGACGAAGTCTGTGTTTTCACACTGGGGCACCCGGCGCATTAGGGCATGATGTGTTGACTTCACAGGGTCACATCAGCATCTGGCCAGATGTGCAATATGGCATCGTCTGTCTCCCAGTTTGCCCAGGCTTCGAAGACCGCTCTCCTGTCTGCATGGTCTTGGCTATCAATTGTGATTACGTTTGTTCTGTGCTATTACCGCCATCTTTGTTATGATGATGGTGATGATGATGATGATGACCAGCAGCGCACGAAGCCGGAGGCAGCTTGCTTGGACTGTCCACAGTCCTTTTCGGCCTGCATTCAGTTTGCGCAGGCCAGCGGTCCAGCAACTTTGGAGTTATGAGTTAGTTCAAGATCCAAGACTGATGCTGCTGGATCCGGACACTTGGATCTGAAATTTGTGGGTTCAGGAGTTTAGACTTCAAGAACAGGCAGAACGGAGAGAGAGAGAGAGAGGAGCGACAGAAGTCATGACCTGTCACGTGGACATCATACCCTCAACCACTTTTACCCCTGTCGCCCCATAACACATGGGGGGCCACAAGGCCAGGGGGTCTGACACGACCCCTATGCCCAATGAAAGAAAGAAAGAAAAGGAGCGACAGAAGTGAAATCCTGGTCTGAGTCCATCAACTGCCATCAAAGCAACCGTCAAACCCGGAAAAAAAAGGGCCCTAATTAAGGCCCGGCTTAAACCGGCACCATGCCGCTTGATCCTAGACATGTCCTCTGACCGCCATGCTCTTCCCGTAATCACCATTATGGTGAGATTCGTGTGCCTTAGGACTTCAACTCCCCCAAATCCAGCTCCATCTGCGCCACACCCGAAACCCTTGAAGCAAGCAGCCAAGAGGGCACTTCAAGCAAAACAGCTCCGAAGCCAAACCCAAATACCAAAAAGGTACCTTCAAGGTCGAAGGCTGCAACTCGAGTCTGAATGGACCTCATCCCCTTCAGACACGCTTCGGAGCATATCAGGCCCAGCAGCAATCCTCCATTCCCTACATTCCAAACTCTGAGCAAAAAATCCCTAAATCGCAGGCTCGGCACTAGCAGCCTCGCTCGGCCTCCGGGTGGCCGAGGAGCTGCAGGCGCATTTGCCGGGGCAGGGGGGGTGGTTCTGACAGGTGGTGAGACAGAGAGTTTTTCAGCTTCTCGGGTTTTGAGTCGGTTTTGGGATCTCAGAGCCTCTGTCAAACCCTTTCGTTTGTTGGTCTCGGGCCGTCGGCGATCTGGGATTGACTGTAGGGGTTTTGGGCTAGGGTCAGGATGCGGGGAGTAGAGAAGGGCTCACAGAAGCGACGGAGCGTCCTACAAGCCACAAAATTATAGAACCCTCTGCAAAGCCAGGAGAAGGTTCTCAGACTCTCGGCGGAATTCCTTGGCCGCGGCCCCATTGGGAATGCCGGCTGTAACCTTCACGACCCATGTCAGACGAATGACACTGAAGACCTTCCATGGCAGGGGATGCTCAGAGTGTACGTATGGTTTAGGGCTGACTGGAGGGATGTTGCAGGTGAGGCCACTGCTTCGCCAAATTCGCCGCAAAAGGCTCTGACCTTGACTGCTTGTATGGTGGCTGCCTGTGATGCTGAGCTGCTACCGCCGCATGCTTGCTCGCCATATGAAGGTAGAGCCCGTTGTCTCTGACAGGCTTCACCGGAATCACCCCAAAGTCCGATTCAAATTCAAATGATTTGGACCCCTAAAGTACTCTTCCTCTGCGGCTTCAGAGCAGCTCAAGAGGTGGCATCCCTTGCGCTGCTGGCCCCGGTGGCCTTGCTGCTCTGGATAGTCTCCTTGCAGCCATAGCCTTGGTGGCTAGAAGTGCATGTTTGGGGGCTTAGGGGCTTCGGCCGTTTAGGGTATTGAGCTTCAGGCAGCGAAAAGGCCCCCATGCTAACTGGAACAGGGTTTGGGATTATGCACGCCATGCGCTCCATCAACTCAACCCCAAGACCTCAACTTTTGCCCATATACCACCTCGCCTGTGAGCTTTGTTCTCTGCTATGCGAGAGGGAAAAAACTTTATCCAACGTCACGGAGCCTGCGGGTTTGCAAAGAGCATGGCAGTCGTGTCAGGCCAGATAGGCTGGGACAGTAGAGTCGGGCCGATTGCTCTTTTTCTGCGAGATTCCTCGATCACTACACAGTGTGATGCGAAGCCTAAGTTGCCGTAAACACATGGCTACCTGATCGGGATTGTCCAACTAGTATCATCCGGCGTTTTACGATCGCTCTCTCAGATGTGGGTCAGCTCTTCCTGCGATCCCTGTGGCCCATCGTCTTCTAGATGAAGTCTTCCTTTCTAATCATCAGCGTGTCGTTCTAAACATCCTAGGAACTGAAGTCAGCCGTTCCAACACTTAATAGGCTGGGACGGTGGCGCTGTTTTTGTGGAACGGAAGTAGTGGTGTTTGGGAGCTTCATTGGTCTCAGGTGCCTCCGGCCCCAGTAGCCCCCAACTGCGCAGCCGCAACCCTGCTACACTGTATCTTCAAGTCCCGCTGCCGCTACACCTTGTGGCTTCCTAGCGCATTCGTCGAAAACGGCATCTGGTTCTTTGCAGAGCTCCCCCCAAATTTATGTTGGGCCTGCCAGGCCACCCAAATTTAGTTTGGTTTCTCCAGGTTCCCAAGTTTCCGCGATGAGCTGTGAGGTGCTATGTGGCTTTGCGGGTCGTGGCAACCCAGCCGGGAACTCGCACACCTGGGATATTCAATTTTGGGGAAACAGGATGTAGAGAGAGCTCGCGATGGAATAGTGGTTCAGTATTTCGAACTGGCGCAATACGGGGTGATAAAGATTCTCGATTCAATAGACATCGGAAGACGACAGGAAAGAAAAGACAAACGAAGGATAAGTCCAGAAGTCGTGATCTCAATGCCCAGCAAAAAATATTTACACATCCATGCTAATTA